GGTTGCAGAAACGAGAAGAGAAGCTAAGAGGAGCAAGACATGTCAGATTCTCCTTTGCACAGTTCAGATCAGAAATGCATTTAAATTAGATGTATTTTGTCATATGAAATATAGTTGGCATGTAAGATAAAAGATTAGTATTGGTTATGCTCTGATCAAATTTGTAAAACCATATGTTTTATACAATAAAGATTATTTGGGTTTTGTGAAATGTTAAACTGGATTTTATTAGATTTTGGCAAAGTAAACATTTTGAACAGTCAATGTAACATCTCATACTCGTATCCGGTCGGGTACTGGTTGGGGGTGTTACAGGACTATAGTGTGCTTCGTAGAGAATCTTACTGCACAACTTAGCGTCTGCGGTTACGCACAACTGACCCTAAGTATAACACATCTTCATCTCGAAGCTCAAAACTGAGGCATCGCCTTGGCGAACCTGCTCAATATGACTTTTCAACTGGTCATCTAAACTTCGTAGCCTCTTGACTTCACCTACCAACTCTGGCTGGACTCGTAACTCGACTAGCAAACCATCATCACTGGATAAACTCAAATGTGTAGGAGGACCTGGCGCATGATTTACCCATAAGTTTAAAATAAACAATCCCCCTTTATTTCTTTCCAAAATGACGTAAAAAGAAAAAAGAAAAAATATCCCCCCTCTTATCATCTTCCTCTCTCACACTCTCCTTCTCCAACTCAACGTGTGGCCGCCACTCATCAAAGCCCAAGACTTTCAACAACGACCACCGCTTTGGTGGTCATCACATGCTCTAACCGGCGACCCTAGTGACCAAAGAAGGCCAAGCAAGAGTCTAAGAGACCGAAAGCTTCTTCCTCTTTTCCTATTTCTCTCGACCGAGAACATCCAACCTCCTAAAGGAACATTTGGCCATAACTCCCCTACTTCGATGACGACCTCTAATCTCGACCAAGCAAGGTAAACAACTCCTTTCTCACTTTACTATTTTGATTCGAAAAAAAGAATGAACAATGAACAAAAAAAGTTGTTGTAAAAAAAATTAATACATTTTCTTCTTTTTGGAAATGTTGTTGTATTTGTATTGATTTTGAAAAAAAATGGGGAACGGAAGTTCCAATCTTTCCAGAGAAAAGGAGGAAACCCTGGGGTCCCTCACTGTTACAATCTGTTTGGGGTTTTATAATCTTTTGTTGCATGTCAAAAAATCCAAAAAAAAATGTTACTAATATTGTGTTTTTTTTCTGAGTTGGGAGTTGCTGGGAAGTTGGTGTTGGAGTGCGTGGAGCAACAATGAGCATGGCATGAGTGTTATAGTTGGTTCAACAGCCGGATATTAAGGGATTTGTCCCTTTCCCTTTTTCTTTTACATTATTATTATTTTGGTAATAAATAATAATAATATATAGTGGTAGATGAAAACTGGTGATTACACATATTTTCCAACACCTCATTCTAACTCAACATTTCTTCTCCTCAATTGTTATTCTTCTTTTGTGCTATTTTTTGGACAACAAAATATTTTTTCCTTCATATTTTATAGTTCATGTTAAATTCAAAATTTAATATATTTTTAATTAATATTTTATTTGATGTTATAAATATATTCTTATAGCATTTCATAACTTATGTTATAATTAATATATGAGAAAATAACCTCAGTGACCAAAAATGCCTTATAATATACGATTTTAACCAACTTTTTTTGGATTTGCCAAAATGACCAACTAAATCGCAATGCGATCGATAATTCGCAACGTGATCTCCGGTATCGCAAATCAGTTTCCAGATTCACAATGCGAACTTCGACTATCGCATTGCGATTTACATATTCGCATTGCGATAATCCAAGTTCGCGTTGCGATAGTCGAAGTTCGCGTTGCAATTTTCTAAATTCGTTGCGATAGTCCAAGTTCGCGTTGCGATTTATTCCAAATTTATTGCGATAGTCCAAGTTCGTGTTGCGATATATTACAAATTCGTTGCGATAGTCCAAGTTCGTTGCGATAGTCGAAGTCCGCGTTGCGATTTATTCCAAATTCGTTGCGATAGTCTAAAATCGCAACGACTGGTGGTATTGCATTTGCTTCTTAAGAATTTTCTCTAAAAATATAGTATTCGCGCGGACGTGTCGAAGACACGTATGACCACGACCACGAGACGAGACGAGAGGCGGCGGCGGCGACGTGCAAGAGTCCCTCTTGTTCTCTATCACTCAACAAGGAAGTGAGAAAGCCAAGCCTTAAATACAATTCCCAATAGTTTTTCCAATACTATGTGGGATTGAGCATTACCAACACTTGTTTCCAATACTATGTGATTATTCAGGAAACAATTAACAATCATGCACCTTAAAACAACTGAATCAGCAACCAATTGCATTAGTATTATACGATTAAATATGTCATAATTAAAAGTCAATCTACAATCAATCGCTATTATTGCAATTTTAAGCAAAACATTCAAAAAAAATTGCATCACTCGCGAGAATAAAAAAATTGTTATCGTGCAATTACAATCAATTGAAAATAAATTAGAATTGCATGAAAACTAAACGAACCACAAATACTTTTCATACAAATACTAAAGTCATTAACTATAATTCACAAATAATATCACTATTTAAGGCTCAATCCTACATAGTATTGGGAACAAGTGTTGGTAATGCTCAATCCCACGTAGTATTGGAAACACTATTGGGAATGGTATTTAAGGCTTGGCTTTCCCACTTTCTTGTTGAGTGATAGAGAACAAGGGGGACTCTCGCGCGCCGCCGCCGCCGCCGTCTCGTCTCGAGTCGTGGTCGTGGTCGTGGTAATACGTGTCTTCGACACGTCCGCGCGAATACTATCATTTTAGAGAAAATTCTTAAGAAACAAATGCAATACCACCAGTCGTTGCGATTTTGGACTATCGCAACGAATTTGGAATAAATCGCAACGCGAACTTGGACTATCGCAACGAATTTGGAAAATCGCATTATAAATTTTTTATTCATTAATATGTTATTTTTTAGTTTAAATTTTAAATAATGTTTATAAAAATATCATAATTTAGTTAATTTTAAAAATATTTTCTTATATTATTTTATACTTTAAATTACGTTTATAAATTAAATTAGTTTCGACTTTAGTTTAATCTAAATATTATTTTTATTAAATTTTTTTGTATAAAAAAGTTTAGGTCAAAGGTGACTCTCTAATCCAGAGCATACCTAAGATTCAATTGGGATTTATTTAGGAATTTACAAATTGTCCATCAAGAGTGATGGCAATAGGATTCGAACTTAGCTTTACAAACTCATTCTTGAATCCCAACCAATTGTGCCACCACTCGTTGATATTTTTATTAATATTATAATAATATTTTAACTCATCCTAATTATTAGAGGTTATAGTTTTGATTCTCTATCTAAGGCTTATGTTGTAATTTGAATTATAAATAATACTTAAAAATTAATATATTTTAATGGCTTAATACCAAATAAGTACCTAATCTATACTTTTTTCCCAAATAGGTGCCTAAACTAATTGTTGTCTCATCCAGGAGCCTAACGTTACAAACATTACCCATTTAGGTACCTTAACCGATAACGGTGTTAATTTCCCCGTTAAATGACATGTGTCACAACCTGATATTTAAAAAAATATTTAAAATTAAAAAAAATTAAAAATAAATATTTTTAATAAACATGAAACACAAATTTTGAAAGAAATCCAAAACTTTGAAAACCTTCATTTCAACCTTTAAACCCACGCCAACAACCGCCTTTTACCGTAAACGAACCTCCACCCGACCTCCCCTCCCTCGGCGACCAAAACCCCCATGAAATACTGACTTGTCGACGATGAATCAACGTTTTAAACCGCCTGAACCCTAGGATTAAAATCGCAATTCCGACGGCTAATCGACGAAAAATACTACGGTGTATGAGTAGGAGGATGTCAGAGACTACGTCGATAGCGATGGTCGTGGCCAGAAAGGGCGGCGGCGGCAGATTAAGGTTAGGATTTGAGATTTTGGGACTGTTTTATAATATAAGAAAAGTGAGTTTCTTTTATAGATATTTAATATTTTATTTTAAAAAATAAATTTCAAAATCATCAGATTGTGACACGTGTCACTTAACGGAGTAAATTAACGTCGTTGACGGCCTGGGTACCTAAACGGGTAACGATTGTAACGTTAGACACCTGGATGAGACGAAAATTAGTTTAGGCAGCTATTTGGGAAAAGCGGTATAGTTTGGGCACTTATTTTGGTATTAAGCCTATTTTAATTTATGTTAAAAATATATTTTATATTATGATTAATATAATTTAAAATAAAATAAGCTAAATTAATTTCAATCTCAATTTAATTAAATATTAATTTTGTTAATATTATAGCAATATTTTTAACTTATTCGAACGTTTAAGAGTTATTTGTCTGATTCTCATCAAAATCATGTGTATTTTCCCTGATTCTCATCAAAATCATGTCTATTTTCCCTGATTCTCATCAATAAGATGGCAACATGGATTGGACAACGGACCGAAATGAAGGCAAATACTCCACTGCAACTATTGAGAGTTTGGTGATTAAAATGCAAGAAACAAAGTTTAGGAAATATTTATGTAATTTACCTGAAAGTAAATATTTAGAGCTAAATATATTCCGGGCCAACCAAAACATACTTCCAAGTGAAAACGAGATGACCAATAGGAGTCGGTTCAAGTGGTAAGGTTTTAGATTTAAATCATTGTGTATGTAAAAAATCTCCGCTGTGCGACTCACCCACCAAAACTAAAATCAGGTGTGCGACTCAGATCGGTCCATATTAATTAATATGAAGCCTTAGATATGGAGGCCAACAAAAGAAAAAACGCGAGATGCATGGTGGTGGTGGAGCAGTGACATCAAACAAGTTAAAACCAAGGAAGTGCGTATGGCATGACCGCTGGCGGATGGACAAACACATACATGTTATGAGTTAAAGCCAAAGCAATTTCAAGTATTAACTTAACAGGTAAACGATATGGCCAATTGCTTGTTCAGACCTCCTCCATCTCCATCTCCATTTCATCATAATCACGCAATATGCTTCTCCCAATCCATTCTCAAGCTCCCTTTTTCGCCTGCAATTCGTCCCCGTTTGACTCCAACAATCTTATGTAATCACGATCAATCCAATCGCAGCAACCAGACACATAATCAGTCATCTCCAGATACAATTCTCCTCTATCCTGATATCGACAGGTATGCTTATGTCCTTTCTCTTCTTCACACCCGTCCAATCATTTTTAGGGTCAATTACATGTTTGGTATTTAAATTTTTACTTTTGTTTCGTTTTGGTACTCAAATTTTATTTTTATTTTTAAAATCATGTATAACGTTTAGTTAAAGTTTTATTTTGATACTTGTCGTTAAAAACTTAACGGTGATTTTGACTTGTCACCATAAGCTAATGTCATGTAATCACTGGGAAAAAAATCATGTTAGCAGTTCTGTTAATTTTTTAATAGTAGTGTATCAAATTGAAACCTAAACTAATCATTAGGTATAGTTTTTTTTTTAAATAAAGTTTAGATATCAAAACAAAATAAAAGTAATAGTTTGGATACTAAACCTGTAATTTACCCTTATTTTTATGGGTTTACTCCTATTGTGTTTTTGTTTTCAGTTTACTTACCGAGATCGTTAGGCAATCGCCATGTACTTGGGGTGCTTCAAGTGATTGGAACCAAGTCGAGGTTTTATCCCATTCTTGTTTTTCTTAATACCTCGTCGAGTTGTGTGGTTTGGGTATCAGATCATGTTTATTCATTATAACGCATAAACGTCGATTGCGATTGCGGTGTCGCGGTTACGGTTGTTACACACGTTAATGTCGCGGTTGTGGGTATTGCAAACGTTACAACTTGATTTATTTTTTAAAAATAACTATGTTTTTATGTTGGGAATGTGATTTGCAGTGTCCTGAAGACATTAAAAAAAATCATGATACGGCTGTTACACTGTGTTGCGACCGCAGTTTAATATTATACATGTCCAAACCATCTTTTTACTAACTCCATCTTCAACATTCTCACCACCTAATTGCTAGCTTATGCATCCAGGGAGCATGGGTTCTCAAACCCAAAGGCATGAAACCAAAGTCAGTTGTTCATTTTGTTGGTGGTCTATTAGTTGGGGCAGCTCCTCAGCTTACTTATCGTTTGTTTCTTGAGCGCCTTTCGGAGAAGTAAGTGTCTCCCACTGCTACTCATCACTTGCCTTGCTTGCCAAAAATTCGATTGAGGCCCTCCAAAATAATTGACATGGTTTGTATGATAGTTTTGTGGCAGTTATATATATATATGCTTTAGAAAATTAAAATGGCATATATCCCACTTTGAGAAGGAATATATTTCAGTAAGAATTTTAAAGGGCTATCATTTCATTTCTTTAGTGGATGTGACAACATAATTCTCTCCCATGCACGTCATTGGTGTTTGTCCCGCTCAATTTTATTGTCGTGATTACGTATTTTTCGAGGTAAAGTTTAGATTCTTATTTTCATATTAATTAATTTTATTACAAAATATTTTATGAAAAATTAAATGAAAATTCTTTAATTGCAGCAGTTATTTTTTAGGATTAATTGATAATAAACCTGAACATTTGTCAGTCTATAAATGCATATTAGTTTCGGCATTCGTTCATTGTAACTATTATCATATTGGAAGAATTTAATTCTAAGGCAATGAATTATCATGACACAATTATCAAACTTGTTTTATTATTGGCAAAAGAGTATGTGAGGCTCTTGTACTTTTAAAAAATCATTGTATCTATCGTACTTTCTTTACACCTAATGTTGTACTCAAATTTAGAAAATAGACTTAATTTGGCCTTTTGATCAATAATTTTTTGTCGTTGACTATTACGGTGCTAACGTGACATTTCATGGAGTTGATGTGGCTAGTGACGTGACTAATAATGTGGTAGATGAGCTAAATTGATTTTTTGGTCGAGTTCGAGGGTTAAATTAGTTTTTCTTTTTAAAAATTCAAGGACTTATTTTATTTTATTTTTCAGAAAAAAATATTTTATATTTTAAATTTTAATTTAAACTATGCAAATACAGAAAAATAAATATTAAAAATTAAATTAAATTAAATTACTAAAAAATTAAAATAAACATTAGGGATAAAAAAATCTCAAACATGTAGATTTCATATTTAAATAATTTTATTTTTCCTTTATCATATTATATTCACTATAATACTCTTTTTAATTTTATAATTATTTTTTATTTTTTTAAATACATATTTTTTTATAATTTATACATAAATTTTAATTTTATAACTTTTAAATTTTATCTTTTTATAATTCTTTATAATATTTGTTTAGTTCAATTTATAAAAATTTAATGGAATCCAATTAGAATTTAGAGTTTAAGATGATTAGAGATAAATGTATAAAATAAAATTTGTACATGACAAACAAGTTCATGTGTATATAAATAAATGTCATATTAAATTCGAGGTAAAATATAATAATATATTTTTAATTTTTAGTATTTTATTTTTATTTTTGATATTTTTATATTTATTTTTTTGAATAATTTTGTATTTTGAATTAGAAATATTTTTATTTTTTCTAAAAACAATTTCACTCTCTAACTCGATAAAAAATCAATTTAGTTCATTAGCCACGTCACCAACCATCATGAATTGTCTCATTAGTACTATAAAGTGTCATATCAACATTGTAACAATCAATAACGGAAATGATTGGTTAAAGAGTCAGGTTAGATCTATTTTTAAGCTTGAGATCACATTAAACGTAAAAATAATACGAGGATCAAGTTAGTTTTTTTTTTAAGTACAAGGGTCTCAATTTACCTTTATCATTTTGTTTATATATTTCCGCTGTAATTTATTTGTTGTGCCTGTAATTTATTTGTAATTTTTTTCTGGACATTCTTCTTAGAGTCCAGGATACTCTCTTTTCCTCACTAAGAAATAGGGGAATTCACTATTTAACCATTGCCTGTATGAAGGGGTGTTCTGGTGATTGCAACACCATATGCTAGCGGGTTTGATTACTTCTTCATCGCCGATGAAGTACAGGCCAAATTCGACCGCTGCTTAAGGTTTCTACAAGAAACAGTGAGTTGTTAAGGTAGTCTCAAAAAGTAATTACTTTTGGTGAATGAAACTGAAAAGGTGACTTTAAGCTTCATGAAATAGGCGCATGATCTTCCTACTTTTGGAATTGGCCATTCTCTGGGTTCTGTCATCCACCTTTTGATCGGTATTAACGCATCGTCTTGTATCTTGTTCAGCCTATACGTATGGCTGGTTTTTTCATTAATGAATTCATTTTACAGGTTCCAGATATGCCGTGCAAAGGACTGGGAATGTATTAATGGCATTCAACAACCAGGTACTTCAACACTTCAATTTCTCCTTGTCTGGGTCAGCTTTCGACCGAATAGAGTCAAAAAATTTCGAGTTCACGAGTCCGGTTTCGTAACACAAATTTGATTTGAATTTTTTTCGAGTCAAATCAAGTATATAAAATTCGAGTTGAATTGTTCTAGTTTCTATTTAACTTTAATTGTAAATATTTATAATTTTATAATATTACTTGATATCAGCTTAAATGATTTTCTATAATCATATACAATACATTCCAATTTAATTTCTAGTCGAGAGACTTGATTCAAACTTGAAAATCAATCCGCTAATTGCTAAAAGTTTTGAGTTATTCGAGTTACATTTTATAACTTAACTCGAATTTAAAAAATTTGAGTCGATTATATAAAATTACAATTCGAAGTCAATTCGAGTCGCGTTAAGTCTATCAAATTAAATCTTGAAGTTAGTTCAAGTCGAGTCTATGAAATCACTACTCGGAGTCTATTAAAGTTGAGTTTTTTTTAATTGAGTCATATCTATGAAATTACTATTCAAAGTCAATTCAATTCAATTTTTATTCAACCCTAATATGCATAGTCCTGAATGAAATTAATCCATCAAAATGATTTCAACTTTCAAATTGCATATGAAAGGTAATTTGCACAAAAGTTTATGATCAACGGACCCTGCAAAATATGAGTAAAAGGCTCATCTTCCCCTTTTCTTCAGTGTCTCTGATGTCTGATTAAGATCAACTTCACTTTGCATATTTGGAGTGTTCCTCGAGGCAGAAACTAATCAGATGATCTCACGTTCATATTTTTTTTCTTATGAATCTGCAATTTTTAGCTTATATTCATCCTAAGATAGCTACCATTTATCTTCTTTATGAGTTGGAATAAGATTGAAAATAGATTTTATGATCTGCAGAAAGCAAGCTTAACTATCCCATGGCTCTCACCTGTTCTTGTGCCAATGGCCCAAATCATTGGACCGTTTCTATCACAAATTGCATCGTCACCGACAATCCGCATGGGGGTAAAAGCTCAACTCTATCTTTTTCCTGCATTACATGCAATGCTGCAAATAATTCTTCCCATGCTAACTGAAGCAACTAAGCTGGTTAAAGGTCTCAGTTGCTTTTGCTTGTTGTTCAAGTAAAATAGCATACCCCATAATTCCCCTCATTTTATTCATTCTTTTCTTAGAAAGGAAACGAGTAGAATATTTTAACACTATAGATTTTACCCTACATTTTCTTTCATCTTTGTTTATTTCTCTTCATTCATATTTTTCTTGAACCAAATAAATGAGTTTTCTGATGGAACTATTGAATGCTTGAGAATCTTCGAAAAATGTTGCTGCTCTGTTGTCGGAATGCGCTATTGCAGTAAATTAGTTTGCAGTTGACCGAAATGAAACTTGGAAGCTTTGGCGTGATAAATGTTGCTATGAAGCATATCAAGTGCCATGCGAAGATGTGACCAATGTTGTTTCATATCCTTACTGTAATTTAAGGATATCATCAAAGAATAGAATGATTTTCACAAATAAGGTCTGAAAAGATCATTCATGGCAGCCTGAAAGGTTGATGGTGCATTGGTGAGACCGAACAACATGACTAAGTTCGTAATGTGTTCTGAATGCCATCTTGGAATTGTCTTCTAGATTGAATCTGATATGGTGGTAGACAGATCGTAAACCGATCTTGGAGAAAACCGTAACCTTATGTAATTCGTCTAAGAATTAGAACCTCCTTGATACTAATGATCCCTCTTAGCTTCATCGTTTTAGCATGTCTACCTCAATATGACATGACAATGTAATTGCTGCCAAGTTATCTGTTATGGACCACATCTACTTTAGAAAAGCCCATTAGTTGATTTTGATTCTCATAATTTAAGGCTTAGGTTGTGACTTTATTAGAAAAGACCATGGATGATCACTGTCGTCGTCCATGGATGATTACTGTCGTCGTCATTGGAAGGCCAGCTATTGCATCGTTGATCGTGGTTGCTCAAGGTCGTCTCCTATTTCTTTCCCCTTGTTTCGACGGTAAATGTTCAGGTTGGAAGTAGAAGGTTGAAAAGGGTGTGAGATTGGTTTTTCAAGGCTGCTACCTCTGCTCAGAGGGAATCAATGGCTTCCACTTTTAGGAAACACTTCATTATGTTTTCTCAACCTAGAGCTTATTGTTTATATATTTTTCCAGAACGAATGACTAATCCGATTTTTTACCAACTACTTGCAGGCTGAGATGACAGTAAAGAAAATAGAAAGCTTTAGTCCCATTATAAAGCAGGTTCTCCCTCTAGTTGAGCAACTTCCTCCCTTCTACATGGACTTAGCCAATGGAAGAGACGATTTTACTCCAAAACCTGAAGAAGCTCATCGACTTGTACGTAAAATCTCCGGCTCTTTTATTCTGAGGTTGTCGCATTACACATTGTTGTGTTTTCTTGTTTATCGAGTCTCTCACCCTAGGCAAACTATATGTCTGCTTGGTTCATGCTTGGACCTCATGGTTAATAGTTTTGACTTTGAGCCATAGCAAGACTTTGGCATTTTGCTAATCGATGTGTCCCCTCGATGAGGTGGTCTATGGAGGTCCTCTTTCTGCAGACCGATATTCTGTAACTGGTTTATGCGTTCAGTAGCATAGCATTCCTCTTGTTCTCCTTTGTTGGGTAAATTCTGTCGATTCAGTCAAGCTCAGAAAGGGAACCTGAAACCTTACGGACTCGTTAGAGATGGTTTACTTAATAAGTTGTATCACAAATTAAGTACTGCAAACTGCAATCTCCTTTGGATACAATATTCCATAGATTTAACTTCTAGACTTGTGCCACATCTTTTTCAGATAAAGTCATACTACGGCGTTTCAAGAAATCTGTTAATAAAGTTCAAAGACGACTCCATCGATGAAACTCCAAACATGGCTAAGGTGCTAAGTTCGGAATCGGCCATCAGCTCGAAGCTAGACATGTCAATTCGAGTGTTACCAGGAGATCATGGGCTTCCTCTACAAGTATGCTTCTAACAAATTACTTTAGAATGCCTCCGCAAGAAGCCTACGCTCGGAATTGCTTTCTTGCTGGATACAGCAAGCAGTTTTAGTAATGCATATTATAGATGTTGCAGGTTCTTCCAGCTGTTCCACCCTTGATTGCAGATGCAGTTACTCGTGGAAGCGAGCTTTTGGCGAATCTGAGTGCCGGAACACGGTGGGAGAGTGTGGTCGAAGAGGTTGACAACACGTTAGGCATTGAGTCGAGCATTATACGAGCGGAAACTTTGAAGCACATGGACATTCTGGTGGAAGTGATCACTTCCTGGATGGCTTCAGATTCAGGTGCAAAACTTTGAGGCCTTACTAATATGGATCAAGTGAAACTAGTAAGAAGAATATTGCCACCATTGCATTCCCTTTTTAACATTTATGTATCATTTCCAGTTTAAAACATACAAGCCATAAGCTTCCATCAATTTGTAAGTAAACAATGTTTGCATGTATGTGATATAAAAAGTTTTTCTTTTATTAAACTGAGGTGATTATATCTATACGACGATACTCAAATTCAGAACTTTTAGAAATAACAATCATCACTTTAACCACTGAAGACATATCATATCATTCATATAAAAAGTTAATTGTTAAATAAGTATTAATAAAGACATTATTGATAAGATAGAAATGTCAGATTAATTTTAAAATTTGCATGTATAACAAATTAAATGATTAGATAATAAAAATATTAACCGTACAAAAATTATTGATATGTAAAACATTATTAGTTTTATAATAGTATAATCAGTGACGAAATTTGGTGATAGAGTTTAGGGGCAACTTAAAACTTTAAAAAATTTAGAGGTTAAATTAAAATTTCTAAAAAATTTGAAAGGTTCAATTTATATCTTTTTTTTTTTCTAAAAAAGTTAGAGTCTAACTAAAATTTTTAAAAAATTGAGAAGTTTAATGAGAATTTTTAAACATTATTAGAGGGTTAATACTCGAGACTTCGATCTAGCCTCCAGCCGGTCTTCTTGGTATTTTATCTAGAGATGTTTCTGGTCTCCTTATAGTCGAATAAGGACTTGATGTACTGACTTTGGCCTCACTTTTAATTCAAGAAAAAAAATTAATTTTTTTAAAATTTTAAATTATAATTTTTCAAAATTTTGAGGCCACGTCTCTCTATTGTGTTGCGCCTCTGAGTATAGTGAATCTCTCCCAATTTAATATTGTCAAAACACTGTTAATGAATACAACTTAATCTGAAATTGCTTTATTTTAAACCAATATCAGTCCTAAAAGCCAAAATATAAACGACATTAAGTCCTTTACGACAAAATGTAGTTAACCAAGTTTTATGGTGATTCTGCTTATTAGTTATATTTATAGTCTGGAAATTTTAGATAATTATTTTATTTAGTAGTGATTTATAGTCTAGAAATCTTGTCATATTTTTCCTTATAAACCTAATGATAATTTTTGGGTAAAATAACAAATGGTCCCTCGACTATAAGGCATGCTTTATTGAGTCCCCTTACTATTAAAAGTTACAAAACGATCTCTCAACTATAGGATGTTGCTTTGTTGAGTCTCATGACTATTAAAAGTTACAAAATGATCACCCGACTATTCATCTATTCCAAACTCATTCTTTTTCGTTAAAATATTAACAACAGTCTGAGCTAAATGTAATACCCCAAATTTTGGCTAGTGACTAAAATGTAAGTTTTGAAAGTTTGGTGGATAAGGTATAAACTTTGTAAAAGTTTAAGGACCAGAAATATAATTTTGAAAAGTCATATATTTTAGCCTGTAAATGAACAGTTCGGCCTAAAACAAGAATTTTTTGTGGTAATCAGATTTTCAATACGAATTTGTGTTAAAAACTATAAAGCGATAAAGTTCGGTGTAGAAATCGGATAATCTGATCGAACTGTAATTTTATGAAAATTTGAAAGATATTAGATAAACGTTGGAAATATTATTTCCATATTTTTGATCAGATAAAGTTAGCACATATCAGTGTAATTTTTAAGATTGGGCCGAACAATGGAAAATTTAGTGACTAAAGTGCAATTTTCAAAAATTGCAAGGCCAAAAGTATAAAGTCAAAGTCAAATTGGTTCATATTTGACTAAGGAATATTTTAATGGAAGATATTGCAATGGTACTTTGTAATTATCAAGTTTCATTAATGGCAAATTAGGGATTTCTCATTAATTGAATTTAATATTCAATTATATTATTAAGTCATGTTTTAAGTTTAATTAACACTAAAATAATCAAGAAAATAATCACATTTTCAGCTACAAACTCTCTCAAGGCCGAAACCACCATTGTTGCATGGTAAGAATTTTTTTTTGATTTTTAAAGCTACATGATTGATTTTTGAACTAAGTTGTGAAATAAAGAATTGATCTACATGAAATTCTCTATCATTTGGTATAGATATTACATGGTGAACATGTTATTTCATGAGATTGAAATTAGGATTTATGTAGAGTTTATGGATTTTGAGGAATTGATGAAGGATTTTTGTGTTTTTGATGTTAGAGATTAATTCTAAAGCATGTATGATGATTTAAAATTATTTATACATGCTTATATAGCATTTGACCATATTAGGGTTTTTGAGAAGGTTTGAATTTTGATGTAATTTGAGGTTGCAATGATTAAAATAACATGAATTTGATCTAAGGAAGTTGAATTCATGCTTGAAATTGAATGAAAAGTTCACCCTATGTACATAGTTAGGTTGGCCATGAAGGGGGAATTAGGGGGGAAATGCTGAAAATTTTTCTATGGTCTAGAATTGATATTAGATGTGTTCTCTGTAATTTGGAGATCAATTTGGATCAATTTCGAGCCTTGAGATAGTAAAGGGTCTAGTTTGCAAGTTTTGAGAATTGTGGGACATTATTGATTAAATGTGATAATTGGGGTTTTTAATGTTAAATTTTATTATTGAAATGCTGGAATTTTTAGTTAGAAAGTTGATTGGAACCAAATTTCAAATTTGGTAAAATATGAGGGTGGAATTTGAAAGGTCGAAGAAATATAGGGACTTGATTTCAAGTTTTTAAATGTGAAAGTATCATTTGGGTAAAATATTACAATGGTGGAAATTTATTAGTATGCTGATTTTCGGGTTTAATTATTTGAGTTTGGATCAAATTGCAAGTTATAACGATTGGAGGTTGAATTTAGAAAGCCTAAGAAAGTATGATGAAATTTCAAGTTTTTGAATGTTAAAGTATTGATTTGATAATTTTATTAAGGTGCTGGAAATTTTAGTAATTAAGGTGAAATGATCATAATGGTGCAGGACTATTATGAATTTAAATGGAAAAGTAAAGTGAATTCTAGAAATAATTCATAATTAGTGGCTTGATTATGTATTTGGCAAAATATGAATGGTTGATGATGAAAATAAATATTTATGGTATTGAATGAATATTTTGAGAAGTTTGAAATTTTGATGGAAGAACGATTTAGTTTCATATCGATTAAGTATCAATTTTATTATTATAGATTTTTATATTATTACGTTTATATATTATGTCAGTTCGATACTAACATATAATTTAAATATTTTATGTTATTATATGAACATTGTCAGATTACGATAAACCTAACGAATTAAGCAATATGAAAGGAAAGAACAAAGCACGAGAGTAGGCGGTAATATAAAAGTTCGGTAGTGAGACAAAGATGAATGCAGTTTATTTATTTAATTATTATGATCGATGACGACTTTTGAAAAGTCAACTCATATTAATATTTTTCAAGTATGATTTATAACTCTTAATTATGGATTATTTCCATAATGTTTTCATCAAGTTTTATGAATAATTTAGGGTATGAATGCCCAAGTATGTTTTTCATGATGATGAATTTTAAATGTTTATGATTTTTAAGACGTTGATTAATGAATAATTATATTATGATTTATAAGTCTCATTGTATGTTGCATTGAGAGTTGTAGGTTATTTGGCATGCCATTAAGTTGAATACATTCAAGTTAAGTTATGGTACATTCGTGTACATTATGTAATACACTGTTGGTGCTCATGTTATGATTTGCACTTGGAATGCATTTTATGATCAATTATGATTGGCACCGTGATGTGCCTAGTGGCACCTTATGTTCTACTCATATACCTTATATTATCTTAAATATACTTTTGGTTATGTAAATGAGATATGAAAGTTATGAACATGTTGTTGACAGGAAAATGATATGTTTATGCTATCTGATATTATTTAACATGTTTTTTTATAAGAATATGAAACAAGTTGATTTTTAGGTTACGATGAAGTATTGGACTTGAATAAGTCAGTTTGAATGTTTAATGTTTTAATTAATTCATTTATAATGTGTTAAGTACTTATGATATTTTTTTATAATTTATCTCACCTTAGCTTGCTACTGCCTCACTAAGTTATTCTTAGCGCATGATGATTTTCATACATAGTTTTTGATAAAGATACGAACGTGCAGTGAGGAGTCTCCCGAACATCTTTTTAAAGATCATCTATATAATCAGTATCAGTAAGACATCTTCGATGTTACTTTTGACTAGTAATGGCATTTATATTTATGTTATCAGTTTGCTTTATCAGTTTTATTCAAAATGGTCTATAATAGTAAACTGGGACCATTTTATTTTGACTAGACTAGCTATATCTGTATTTATAAATGAATAACTTATTTATGTTATTATATTTTAAATGATTTTAAAATTAAGTAGTGTTTAGGTAGTACTACATAGTTTATGAAACATCACAGTTTATTAAATATCACTAAATAGCCTAATCGCTACCTGAAAATGGATTTGTTTTCAATATTTAAATATTAATTTATGACTTTATGGATTTAGAAAATAGTTGAAAAGTTGAAAATGAACGTTTTTGAAATGAAACAAAATTTTAAGCATTTATGTTTAGTGAATGTAAGGTTGAAGTGACATTTTTAGCTCGTGTTTTGAGACTTATACGAGCTATGGGTGTTACACTAAATGCTACTAACTAGGATATGGTAAAATCTGATCCTAGAATCTCAAACGACTATCATATCCATCCAGCATGTTAACATCCAATTCAAACTGCAATCAATAATTTAACAAAAAAAAAGACGAGTTTAGAACATATGAATAGTCTAATGACTATTTATAACTTTAAATAGTCAAGGGACTCAACAAAATAACACCCTATAGTCGAAGGGTCATTTTGTAACTTTTAATAGTCAGGGGCTCAATTAAGCAACATCCTATAATCATGAACCATTTGTTTATTTTACCCTAAATTTTTATATAGATTTATACTAGTAACACATCCAAGTGACACTAGTTCATATAATGCACGCATGCAAATACCTTTCTACAATAAATTATACAAATAATAATTTCAAAGTAAGCTAATTTTAAAACCTTCATTTAATTAATAGTCACGCAGTCTAGTAATGAAAATGTACTTCAACAGTACGAGTAAGAGCATATTGCCTCTACACTCTACAGCATGTCTGTGCATGTGTCTATTGTTGTTCATGGTAAAGATACAGGCCAAGACCAAATCTAGCACAGGCCCTGCAGAATGCTATTTCTTCTGCTGCACTCACTGGATCCTCTCCTATGCCGATGTCACTGCTTGACACCGTGCCTGTCGACTCTCGATGTGCCTTCATAACAACAACAATAAATACCATCACACAAGCATCAAGTCAAATGACTATAACAAAATCTGAAATCTAATCAGACTAGTTTTGAATGGAAGTTCAGAAGTATCCGATATTGGTACACTCATTTTTTTTCCTATATGTCCCGAATATTGGAGGACGAATATTGGAGGATCAAACCTCAATATCCATGTCTGTTGGCCACACATAATTTAAGGGAAATGAAGTGTCAGAACAACACAGTTGACTATAATAAAATCCTTAAAGATAAATGACGTTATTGTTTAAGTAGTTTTATCTTTCGACCGGGAATAATATGGTATTGTGAGTCTATATTGTGATTTTGTAGATTATGGAACTAAATATTTGAGGGAAGTTATTCAATGATGATTTTAAAGTATTGAATTTGAGGCCTACCAAATTGACCAGTGATGGTGGATTTCTCTTTTGATTCTACAGATATGGTACTTTGGTTTCTTTTACTTGTTGGCAGATCTTATAATGAAATTGCTTTGTATAATCATCTATTATAATTCCAGCTTCTTGGTCTAATCTGATTCAAGCTCAGACAAAAACTAAAGCTTAAGAAGCTTGTTGTGTCCAATGTGACAACAAAGACATTATCATAACCGATTCAAGCAAAGCAAAGCTAGCTTTTATTGAAGTTTAAGCAAAGATACATCACCAAATTTTTGGCCCATGTTGCAACCCAACTAAAACCAGCAATTAGTTTCGTATGAAGGCACTATCATTTGCTCCCTGAAAAGGGAAGTAGCACTAGTAGTGTGATATGCTATAAATTATTTTTTCCCTCATCAATGACAATAGGTTTGAGCTCTTATATGAATATTGTGTTAAAAAAGTTTATGAGCATCTTTCCAAGAAGATAAGTTCAATATAAACTATAGAGAAGATAAAATAATAAAAAGAGGAACATCAAAGAACCAAAGAGACGAAAAAAACTAAAATAGTACTTTCTCAAATGTCCTAATTCAGATGGTGTGATGCAATTACAGAATTTGATGTATGATGGCTATGGTTTTTTCTTTTCTTGGTTGTGTAATGCAATCAAGAAACCCAAGGTATGAATCTTAGGGATCATTTGTATTTTTATTTCCCTTTCACTTCATTTCCCACAATCTGCCATGGATCAGTCTTGATGTGCTCCAATATACAATCTATGAGAGTCCCTTCAGGAACCCGAGTCTTTAGCTGGCTTTCATCTGACCACTAGTTTAGTACAAAATATCCCTAGTTCCAACTTCCAAAGTGCAGGCCATGAAAGCAATCAACATCATCTAACGCTAAATCAGAAAACATGGAACTAGATTGAATAGAAAACCTTAATAACGATTGTAAGCAACTCAGTCAAGATAGCTCCTTCCTAAGAAAGGTATTCTTTTTTGCTTATATTTCTCAATTAACTTAAAGCTCAATGCTCCATTTGGGAACTCAAATTTGAGAATTTGGATTTCATTTGCCATGTAAATTATAAGAATGGAATACATACATCAAGGATAAATAGTTAACATTCAATATATGTAGATGAAATGTTTAAAACCATGGATTTATCAAGTACAAGAAATATACTAAGAATTTCAAATTCACTACTGAATACGTAACTAACAAATTTCAGAAATAATCATAAATGTTATTCTCTAGTACGCATTGTTAATAGGTTAAGAAAGTTACAAACAAATACTACTTTATAATCACGCAGACTATTAAAAAAAATCAATTTATACTATAATTGAAATCCAAATCCAAATCCTAAACTCTAAATTCCCAAATGCCAGGAGGCCAAAATGTAAAAATGTTAGGTGTTCATAGAGAGGATGATGTTTTTAACACAATTATTGAATACAGAAGGAAGCATACCTCTCCATCAGATCCTCGAATGGTGAGTCGATATACAACAGTGATAGTTCCATTCTCAGCAAAAATAACATCACGCACTTCTCCACACCATCCTGTGAGAAAGATTGAACCAATAATTGTTAATGATTTGCAATTCAAAGAGAAAATCCAAGGGAGAAGGGAAAAGGGAAAACCAGGGGCGTAGAAGCTCAACATTCGATTGGCATGGTACCTGCGGCGATCAAAGCAGATCGAGTCAGATCAGATCAATTCGATCATCAATAAGAAGATTCCGAAATTCAAAAACACAAGTTAGCGGCGATAGTACCAGGGGATGAAGGTGTAAGAGGAAGAGTTAGAAGGGGGCTTGACGACGTTATCAGGGATACGCTTGTTGAGGTCGCGAAGGATTTCGACGAGTGGACGAGTGATGTAGGAAGAGTTGGAAGGGGAAAATGACTTGTTAAGAGGCACAACGTAGTACGAATTTGGGACTCCCTTTTTAGCATCGCTGCTTCCATTATTGCTGCTACTGCTGCTGCAATGGACAAGGCCGACGAATCGCGATCTCCGCCGGGTCTCAGCCGCAATTAGCAACCGGAAATCCTATTGCTACGGTGATTGTTGGAATCGGACACTGGCTGCGATGACCATTGCGAGATGAAGCCGCCGCCGCCGATTCGCAATTGCATCGCCATTTTACAATTGTAAAGCTTGTTTGGCCAAACGCTTACAGCCCTTTTTATTATTTATTCTCTTGGCTTGGTGTGCTCTTGTATTCCATTAGAATGAATATAACAACCAAAAATTTGAAAATAATATTTAATTGAAATTTGATTTTTTAATTATGAAAATTGATAAATTTTGGTATTAAATTAAAAGATTTTAAAATTTATAATTTGTTTTAGATTTAAAAAAATTCAGAGACAAGCTCCGAATTTACCCAAGAAGTGTCTAAAAACCATGTTATATACGTGATTTTCTGTTTCAAACGCCCATCTTCCAACCACAATCCCAAAATTCCCTCCCAACGCCCATCTTCAACCACAATCCCGACACCGTCCGACATCTGATCGTTGATTTGAAAACACCACCGTGTTCATCATCGAGCGAGGAACAAATCCCTTAAATTAATTGAAGTGAAACGCTGCCAAACGTCGTGAAATTCAAGTCAAAGTCTCGACGTTTTTTTAGCTCCATCGCCGAGGAAATCTTAAATTCATCGCCGATCGTTGCTCCGTTTACGACACCTCCTACACCATCGTGTTCCTTGTGCCGTTCCGAGTCCACCGGTGTCATCCTTTTCTCCGGCGGCGACGACGCATGTGGTGGCGAAGCGGTCAAAGTTTCTAATTTAATGAAATCAAGCTCTCCGCCGTTCAAAAATTTGAACGGCGGTGTAAATATCTCGAAATCGCTCAAAATAATTTTTAGAAATTTTTCGTGAATTTTACGCTGCCGTAAGACGTCCCACGCGCCCCCACTACGCGTGGGGAAGGTCAAAATGACCGGTTTGACCGATTACAACCCGACCCGTTGACCGTTAACCGGGTGATATTTTAGTAATTATTTTGAAACTGGTGACATATTGGGAATTAATTCGAAAATGGTGCTATTTTTGTAATTATTTTTAAAAAATGTTATTTACGTAATTTTAAAAATGACATTTTAGTAAATATTTTGAAAATAGTGCTATATTGGTAATTAATTTTAAAATGGTGTTATTTTTGTAATTTTGTAAATAAATAATAATTTCGTAAAATGGTTTACCACTTTTGACTTTAACTTTGATCGGCTTTGACCAGATATTAAACAGCCGTTAATCTTTTCCGAGAATACTTATCCTAACATTTTTCGACGTCCCGAATCCGTTTTTGGGATCCGTTTCACAAAATTCAAACCCGAAAGTCTCCAAATCGTCAGTCAAACCCGTTGACTTTGATTTTGACCAAGAATTCAGAATTTCGAGAGGTCATACTTTATGTTTTTCGACGTCCTGAATCTGATTCCGAAGTCCGTTTTGTAAAATTCTGACCCGAAATTCCCGAATCGAACTTGTGAACCCAAATAGGCTTAGTATTTTAGTATTTTGATTATTTATTTGAGATATGATTAAGGAATTGTTTAAGTAAGATATTTTTATTAAGGTACTCGTGTTTCACCTAAGCAAGGATCAGTCAGGTCCGGTGTTGTCCGTTCATCAGATCAGTCTGAATCGCGTAATACAAGAATTACTCGTAGGTTTCCGTATATGATTTAAATAAAGATTAAGATTTTTTATATATATTAGGATTCCAATAGGGATTTTTCCAATTCGTAGGATCTAGCGCTGCAGCAGAGCGTGATCGACAAACCCAATAGTAGGCTTCCCTATCTGATTCCCAGACTGTTACAGGTGTGCTTCCTGACAGTGTTATCTTACTGGTTTAAACTATCATATGAATAGTTATCTGATCTGACATTTGACTTGAATTTTTATATGATACTTGACATGGATTCTGATCTGTTACTTGACCTGATTTATGTTTTAATTTTTTTAATATATATATCTGTTATGAGCGGAACATGATTTATTTGGGGGTAATGATGGATGAAGTATACCTGGAGGCTCCTTTGCTGTGTGCTCAGGGCCTTACTTACCGGCTCCTCTACTGAGTGCTCAGGGCCTTACTGGACTTGTTGGTGGGTGTATGGTTTTGGGGAACCTACACATTTTGGACTTGACGGATGGGGGTAGTGTTCATATTTTAAAACATGTTTGATAATCGATTTTACTGAAATATTTTATTCGTATGTTTTTAATACACTGTTTGGAGCACACTGGGCTTTTTAGCTCATTCTGTAGTTTTTACCTTTTTCAGATAACAGTCGACCGTAAGCTAGCAGATTTAGCATCAGGAGAGATCAACTACTTATTTTGTACGAACATATATCTCTATATGTTTTTTTCGGTTATATTTGGTGACATGCATTTGCTATCATTTTGGATATATCTGTATTATTAATATTTTGTTCTATATTATATTTAAAGTTCTATAAGTTGTTAAGAAAAAAAACATCTGAATGAGATATGTGACCACTTAGGTTTGGGTCTAACTTACAGAACTTACAGACCGAGTCTCGATGGTTACATTCGGTGGTATGAGAGCTTTTGATTTTAAACACTCGGACTGTATATGGGTCCTAAACTTTGGATTTTTAAGAAATTTTGAAGAAAAAAAATGTGTCACCTTATTTTATGATTTAAAATTTTCTCGAGATCTCTGATGCTAATCTGACATATGTTTCAAACTCTTTCTGTAGAGCCTTATAGATCCAACAATGAGTGCTGCTAGAGGTCGTATGACAGGACGTAGCCGGGGTCGAGGGCGAGTCCTCGACCTTCTGTTACGATCGATAATCCGATGTCTCCACGTGATCCTCCTGTTCCGCAAGTAGATCTGACCCTTTCTCATGATGACCAGTTTACTCCTGTGAGAGATCCTCCCGTCACTGGAGATGAGGATACTGACATGAACGAAGATGCCATTAATAGAGCTATATTCTGCATGTTTCAGAGAGCTGTCAGAGCCCCTAATAATATGACTGCGGTTGAGATTTCAAATTTTCTTGTTGCTGCTGGTGTAGTTCCATTCGAGGGTATTACTGGTGGACCTCCGACAGATGCTGAGTATTGGTTGGAGGACACAGAGAGGATTATGGATGAGATGGACCTCAGACTTGAACAGAAGTTGAAGGGGGCCCTAATTATGTTGAAGAAAGAGCTTCAGATGGTGGCAATCAATTTCTGGTAGTATTCCGAGAAACCAGTTAACATGGGATCTTTTCAAGACGCGCTTCCGGAGTCGCTACATCGGAGAGAGATACTTGTAGGAGCGTAGTCAGGAGTTTCAGAATCTGGAGCAGGGTAGCATGTCTGTTATGGACTACGAGGTTGATTTCATCCGATTGAGTCGTTATGCTCCTAGACTTGTTGACACGGAGATAGATCGATGCTTGAGGTTCGAGAATGGACTCAGGTATGAGATCAGGAGTCGAGTCGCTACCCACCGAGAGAGGAATTTTGATGCTTTGGTTGAGATAGCCAAGACTGCTAAGGAAATAGAGAGACTGTGTATGGAGCACAAGAGAGATAGTGATCGAGCTCAAACCCGATTCAGGAGGCCTTCTAGTTTTGTTGATTCTTCTACACACCCTAGCAAGAGAGGCAGGGGTGAGTCATTTCAGAGAGGCGGTACGAGTGTCAGACCTGTTACATCCGGTTCTTCAGTTGTACATTCTTCTAGACATGGTGGATCATCTGGGTTACAACCTTTGAAGACATGTGATTACTGTGGAAAACAACATCTTGGAGAATGCAGGATGAAATTGGGCACATGTTATAAATATGGTTCTGGTGACCAATTTTTTAAAAACTGTCCAAAGCGAAATCGTTCATTTCAGACACCAGCTTGTACTCCCGCTAGTTCTCATAGTACAGTCCAGACTCCAGCACAAGGTCGTACTCAGGAGAGAGCACCTAGATCGGCTAGCAGAGGCCGAGCATCTCAGAGTAGGGGTCCAGTCAGATCTGAGGCCAGACAGCCTGTATTGGTTTACACTGCCAGACTTCGACAAGATCGTGATGGGCCTAATGTGACTGCATGTACTGTTACTATTCATTCAGTTCCATACTTTGCATTGTTTGATAGTGGCTCTACCAATTCCTATGTATCGCATTCCGTTTATGAGGGTTTAAATATTCCTGTTGAGAATACTGAGCATTTGGTGATAGTTCAAAGTCCCTTAGGCAAGTCCATTATATTGGATCGTATTTTTAGAGAGTTCCCTATAGAGATCAATGGGGAGATTTTTCTGGCTAGCCTGATGGAGTTACCTTTAGAAGAGTTTGATTTAATTCTCGGTGTAGATTGGTTGGACAAACATCGAGTAAATATTGATTTTGAGACTAAGAGATATGTTCTGAAGACCCTGGATAATCGAAAGATTTTAATGATCGGGGAACGCCGTGGATTTCTGACGAATGTTGTATCTGCTTTGGTAGTTGAGAAGATGATGAGGAAAGGTTCCGAGGCGTTTCTTGCTTATATATTGGATACTAGGAGTTCTAAGCCTGATATTGAAGGTATCCGGATTATCAAGGAATTTCCTGATGTTTTTCCCGAGGAGTTGCCTAGATTACCTCCTGATAGAGAAGTCGAGTTTGAGATTGAAGTCTATTCTGATTCTACTCCGGTTTCAATGGCTCCTTATCGTATGGCCTCAAAGGAGCTTAAGGAACTGAAAGTTCAACTCCAGGAGTTGTTGGACAGGGGATTTATCCAACCCAATGTATCACCGTGGGGAGCCCCAATTCTCTTTGTCAAGAAAAAAGATGGGACATTGAGACTCTGTATTGATTATAGGAAACTGAACAAGCTCACGGTTAAAAATAAATATCCTCTGCCCAGGATCGATGATCTATTTGACCAATTTCGAGGAGCTTCTATCTTTTCAAAAATAGACTTGAGGTCTGGTTATTATCAACTCAAAGTGAAAGACTCGGATATTCTGAAGACTGATTTCCGTACTCGGTATGGGCATTATGAGTTTTTAGTGATGTCTTTCGGGTTAACAAATGCCCCTGTTTCTTTTATGGATCTGATGCATAGGGTGTTTCGACCTTATTTGGACCAGTTTGTAGTTGTATTCATTGATGACATGCTGGTGTATTCTAGAAGTGAGGCAGAATATGAGGAGCATCTAAAGATTGTTCTACATACTCTAAGAGAGAATAAGCTATATGCTAAGTTGAGCAAGTGTGAATTCTGGCTCAGTGAAGTGACGTTTCTTGGACATATCGTTTCTGCTTATGGTATTCGGGTGGATCCAAGCAAAGTGGAGGCTATTTTGAACTGGAAGCAACCCAGGAACATTTCTGAGATCCGTAGTTTCTTGGGCTTAGTTGGTTACTACCGTCGTTTCGTAGAGGGGTTCTCCCTTATTGCAGCTCCTCTGACGAAACTATTGAGGAAAGATGTTCCATTTGTCTAGTCTGAGAACCAACAAGCTAGCTTTGAGAAATTGAAG